TCTCTCTCTCTCTCTCTCTCTCTCTCTCTCTCTCTCTCTCTCTCTCTCTCTTAAATCACTTTCGTTTTTCATGACATTTGTTATCATTTTTTCCCAGATATCTTTCCAACAACTCAATTTCAGGGAGTTTTTACCTTCCAGAAAACGTTTATCATCTGTGAGTTATATTTGATGAATTGCTTCTCAAAGCTGTTTGCCACAGAATCAAAGTACATCTAGGTTTACTACTAAAATATTGTTGTAAGCTTCTATTCTCCAAATATTATGAATAAAATGATGCTGAGCTGCTTACATTAGCTTTTCATTTCCTTTTATTTGTCTTATTTTCTTAAAGAAAACGGTGCTTAGATATGTGGATGCATGAAACAGCATAGTATAAATGAGGCTGCTGAACCATTTTAGCCCATTGTCTAACACTTATAAGTTGATTTTGGATATTGCATTTGTTTAGGAAAATCAATCACAACTTACTATCAATTGCTGATGTGAAGGCCATTCTCAAAGGATTAAAGCAGCTTCACACACTGTAAGTGTCATTTTTTAAGATGAGTTGAAAATCACAAAAAATTATTTCGAATGCTTTAAACATATAATCGTTCATCACATTTTTCATCAATAGTTCGTCACAGTTTATAAAGAATTAAAATTTCACACCTCATATCGGCCTATATGTAATTGGCAGATAGTTGCAACTCATTTCAAACGGTTTACTTTTACAGAGACCTTAGTGGAAATCCACTTGGACCTTCCTTGCCATCAGACATCTTCGCTGGGTTTAAAAATATGGCATATCTGTGAGTTCAGTGGCTCCACAAATCACCAACTAATAAGAAGTATCATATTGAACATTTGTTTCACAATGTAATGACATTCAAAATAAATCCTGTAGCCATGTCCGAGAAAACTAGCTTGGTTGTTCATTTCAACAATTTAGGAACAGTTAGTTTTGGCCCGACGGAGAAGCGTACTGAAAAATTATAAAGGAATGTTCCGCTCTAACTGTCCAATTATGGTTACTCTGATAAATTTTTAGAGTGCATTCTTCAATCAGCCAATACCACCCTTGAAATGTTTGAACAACAGTCTCCATTAAACTTCTCTACCACGCTGACTTTTCATATTACTTTTGTAGTTCCGTGACTGCTTGCAACTTGCAAAATATCGCCAATGGAACTTTTCGAGAAATGCGATACCTAAACGGACTGTAAGTGGTGTTAATCATTTTTTCACTTTTTCCTAAGACATTTAAGCATAACACCCGGCATGTCTTGGAGAGATTTTGTCTAAATAGCTGAGTAATTTCCTTTCCGCATCTAAGAAATGACAACAAAATTTTACCGTTTGTCATGTTTCAAAAAAGTACACCGACCGTTCATAAACTAGTAATAAATGCGCTAGGAATTCGACTATGCACGCCACTGTTTTAGAGATGACTTTGTAGCCAGGCCGCAATTGCACATGGGCTGGTTTTTAAAGGCAGAATCCCTATTGGTATTAAGAAAATTGATTTTTTGGGGGAGTAACTCCAAACTGTTTACACAGATCACCTAGAGATAGAAATGAAAATGAAGAGGAAGCTAAAAAATATTCAGAATTTGGGGGTTCATCGTCGAGGTTTTAGCGAATTTGTTCAGAATTAGTAATGTTATTCTTTGTTATTCAAGTTGCAATGTAATTCTAAGTCTGAGCTCAACAAGGGGAAAAGATCTGGTGATAGGTTTTAGTACGAACACTTAACTTGTCACATCCTTGACCTCGGACCATTACAGACAGGTTTATTTGCGATAAGATCAACCTGGAATGAGCGGCATCACGTTATTGCATGAAATTTGTCCGTTTTCAGTGATCTGTCTTCCAATAAGCTAACTCATATACACCAGGGTACAGTGGAAGGACTTACGGACTGGCTCAAATATTTGTAAGTACATTAGCTGTGCATTGCTGTTCTTTGCTTAGTACTAGGTAATGCGAGTTTGAAAGGAATAACTTAATATACCTTGGTTATTTTGTGGACAACGGAAATCTTCAGCGTACTTAAGGTCCAAACCACGGGCAACACCTCTCATAGTTCGCGTAATTTATTCTATTTTTTTATTGAAATGTTGGACTCACCACGACGGAGAGTTTTATCAACTTTCATTATACGTAAATATGTAAAACAACAGAAATGCCCTAACCCCTTCTATGCCTCCCAAAAGATATCTCAATTCTCTTTACATTTGCTAATAGGTTCCTTCAAAGAAACGAGCTAGAGACAATAGGTGATGGCACTTTAAAACAATTTAAACACCTCGACAGATGGTAAGTGATTTAAATATACTTGCATAAAACAGGTAGAATGGCAAAGATTTCGACGAGGACTAGATTTAAATTGGCGCAAATAAAGAAAGATTTTCAAGTACAGCATAAAAAAAACCGTCACTCGTTGCAACACGCCACTTTTATTTCAGATAACACATATGCGATTGCGGCTGCTATTACCCTTGATTAATTACGAGTTACGATGGGAAACAAATGAAAAGAAATTGACAAAGACAAAATCACTGAGGAAGTAAAAATTACAAGACAAAGAGAAAGAAGAAACGTTTGTGTATTGATCAAAGCTCATTATAACTCCTTTACATTTTTTCGTTTTCCTGGATCTTATAGCATGATATACAACAACAAGCTGACATCTGTACCAGATCTGACAGGCCCTAACTCTATTATTAATCTATTGTAAGTAGCTATTATACCTATTATACCTTTCATGACTGGAAATTATCCCTTCATAAAAAAAAAAACCTGCTGATTATACCAGCAGTCCTTCTTTTTATCAAAAGAGCAAAATTTTGCTAGTCTTTCCAAATAATGCCAAGAATTGTTTCAGCACAATCTACAAGGGATTGATGTACATATACTGGCTAATGTAATTTCCTCTCTTAGTTCTCAAAAGCTTCGTAGCTGTAATTTACCTCAGATGTCCTTTTATTTGAATTCATTATTAACTAAACAGCTCATTTTCAATCGTTTTACAAAATAAGCTAATTTCGTCCGTCTAATGATGTACATGCCTGTAACATTTTAAAAACTTTAAAATCTACTGTTATTTTGAAAATCGTGAATATATCATTAGTTTTATCATTCCCATGTATCAATCTTTTTAGAAGTCATTAGTTTTATCATTCCCATGTATCAATCTCTTAGCAGTCACTGATACATTTTCCATCTACTGATCTATCGATTGATCAGTTCCTCTATTTATCTATCTATCTCTCTAGAAGAGTGACAGTCTGAACTGAAATAATAATAAAAGAAAAAATGGGTGAGACAACTGAACGTCATACATGTAGCCTGTGATGCGTGGGTGTGGCCACCATATGGGTGATTTTTTTTTCATTTTATTCAACCAAAATTTATATCACCACAGGAGCATATATTCTCTTGATCAGCATCAACAATTCGATCTTCACTTGCTTAGACTCTTACGTTCGTCTTAGACATTTACAACAAAATCGAATCACAGATTTATCAAGAATTGTCAAATCTGGAATTGGACACGTGTTTCAAATGTAAGTACTTGATATATATATAAATTAATGTTTCATTTTAGGTTATTTGGCAAGAAACCAGCTTCTTTTCCTCTGGATGCCTTAGGTTATATTCAAGTGTGCTCCAGCTCTACTAACGTTTGAAAATGTTGTTTTTATCATGTAGACTGTTGGACAACAATGAGATCGATCACCTTCCACCGAACATATTTCAGGATATTTTCGTACTCGGAAACCTGTGAGTAATAGAAACTACAACTGTAACCGAAGACACGCGTAATTGTTTTCATCATTTATTTAGAGACATCCACACGCCTACAGTACTAAACATGAGCAGGAAAATGCAAATTAGAAAGCGAAAACTTACAAACAACGTAACAATTAAAAAAAATTACCCTAACGGTGTACAGCTCTACAGGCAAAAAACCAAAACGACGACGCTGCTCCTTAAAAAGTTGACATATACTTTACAGGACTAAATTTAGACACAAAACTGACAAACACTCAACATAATTACATATTATAGTAGAGTTCGCATATAACGCGCGCTGTCATTGGCTGAAAGAGCGTGCTCTATGAGAGTCTAGAGCATAGAGCTGAGCTGAAGCTGTCACGCCATCGGCAAATTGGACTATGTCCGACCTTTTCCGAGACTTTTCTCTAGCTTTTTTTCGTTAATTGAAAGTGAAATTTCGATACAAGCGAGCCGGCAAGAAGCAACAGAACAATCAAACAAAGATTTATAAACATGCCAGGCGCAGTAATTTACGTTATTATAAGTGAGCATAGACGAATATCCTCAAAGAGAAAACAAAATGGACAGTCCGAGTTTTGAAGGTTTTCACGCTCAGTTAGATTACAAGCTTACGAATGGTAATAAAAATCAAACACAGCTAACACTCGTATAGTATATAAAGTTCGGGTTCAAAAATAAAACAGAACAAAACAGGAATGACAAAAAATATAACCAAAGTGGCAGAACTGTTACAATTCATAATAATCATGACGATGTCAGAGCGACTGCGATCATGCTGAGGTCTAACGTGGCTAGTTCGGAGATCGCTTGTGATGCAAGCCTCAGAAATTACATCTACCGCCCTTCGAGTAAACAACTAAGAGCTTGTTCCGATGTCCTTTCCGATGCGTTGAGTGGTGAAGGCCACATCAGTCACTGCAACCGAGTATTACGGCACCGTCATCCCGAGCAATCTTCATGTTCCGGTAAATTCGGCTGTCGATCATTTGTAAAACTCGCCTTCGGCAGTTTATTTGTTTACTATTTGTCATGTAAAAAAACTTGCGTGTTTTTGTAAGGCACAATTCGGCCGGATTTTACTGAACATTTCACCTCCACCTTCTGTATTAGACTAAAAAACTTCAGGCAAAAGTGTTAGATTCGACCTGCCAAACTATTTAAGTTTGTTAACAATTGCCGCAGAATGTGAACTTTGATAGTTTGACATTTTTGACAGCTTTAGTCTTGTATAGCCAATCAGAATATTTGAACTATTATATCAACAATTCTGATTGGCTTGTTGTAGCGTGCTTTATGAAAGTATAGAGCATGCTGACGACACTGTTGTTCGCTTTGGAATTAAAATTTATTTTGAAAATTGAAAGTAATGCGCGGGGAATTTAATGGATTCTTTGTTATAAAACAAATAGAGAAGCCTTTACTGTGCTCTGTTCTGTTATAAAGCACTTAGGAAGCGGTCAGAGCACTCAACAAGTGGGGAGAAACACCCGAATACGTCTCGTGTTTCCCCCAACACTTCTTTCGTGCTCTAACCGCTTCCTGAGTGCTTTACAATAGAACAGAGCACAGTCAAGGCTTCTCTATTTGTTAAATATTAGGCAACGGTACAAACATCAATCCCCAAGCACATAACACAAAAAATGAAACCTACAAACATTCACAGGTAACACGTGAACACAATACGCAACAAACAGTAAGACAATAAGTTTCGCGATAATAACAACCGTGATGGAGCTGTGACTGTCTTGGAATAGTGTTACACAACAAAAGAAGTAGGACTTGATATATAGAAAAAATGAGTTTGATCTTTGAGTCAATTACCTTATTGAGGATGCTTCTTCTTTTATCCCATTAACCCTTAACAGTGACCTGCAAATAATCTCTCTTCACGATATCAGCCCTAAGGTTGTGAGGTCAAGGAATTTAGCACTAATTGAAGGAGTTCTTAATTGTTAAAGGAATTCTTCATGTCAGCACCTTAAGAAATGTCTAGAGAACAGTTTACTGTCAGGGGATAAAGGCTTAAATGCGTCTCCCTTTGGGTTTTTTAGCGTCTATTTTCTCGTCTCTCCACAGTGATTTATCGTTTAACAAGTTGCAGTCATTACCTGATGACGTGTTTGCTAGACTAAATCAATTACACATTCTGTAAGTAAAAGGTGAAAACCAATGTAGAAAGTAATCGGTTCTCATGTCCCAAATGGAAGAATACAATCAATAATTAATCAGGTCGAGATCGCCACCTCTCAAAACGTTTACCCTCTTAAACAACTTGAGTATGTGACCCAATGCGGAGTGAATTTCATAATTTTCTAAATTTTGAACAATCTTTGTCACTTGCCTCCGAGAAGTTTGAAATAAATGCAATTCTTTTTTTTCAAAGGTAGGCTACTCGTGACATCTATTTTCCTGAACAACTTATTGCAATTTCCAAAGGATGAAAACACCTCTCTAAAATGACAATAACCCGCTCCTGTTCAATGCTTGATATCTCAGGAGTATAATATTTTCCCCTTTTTTCAGGATGCTAGCCTTCAACAGGATCACTCACATTAATAAACACACATTCAGAGGACTTTCCAGTTTGACCACACTGTAAGTGTCCTTTATATACTCTTCTTAAGAGTTGTAAGTCAGGGGTTTAAATAACGTTTTTCATAAGCAGGGTATTAGGTATAGGAAGTGTAAAGTTGTGTAGTAGGTGACTGTTCCCGAAGAAGAGGCCTTTTCTAGGCCTTGTCCCTAGAAAAAAAAAATTTGAAACTTAGAGCTCAAAAATGTCATTTCCACCACCATGAGCATCAAAAAGTGCACTTTTTTGTTATTATTTTCATCGACACCTTTGTAATGTGCAAGTTATTCCTAACCAATCAGAACACTTCGTTGTGGAGCGTTCGTGGATAAACGAAGCAAATTCGGAAATCAATGTCTTGCAGGGAGGCTCTCGTCTCAAGACCTCCCTCTAAACTTTTAAGATTCACGTGCGTTTCATAAAAGTCATAGAGGACTTTCGCACCAATTAAAAAGTTTCTTTATTGGAGAGTAGTAGCGGATTGAAAAAGAATCATTTGGCTAGTTAAATCGTTTATTCAATTGATAATACATTTACCTAGGTAACGTTTACGAACTTTTCTTCTTTTCTCAATCAATCATTTTCTTCACAAGTTGGGAGTTTTCTTTTTAATGTTATTACGAATCAATGCTAATCAAAAAAACCTTCCATTTAAAATATATTACAGTTCACATGGCAACCAGGTGGACAATCAGACATGGTTTGGTGCTACTCTGGTTTACAGATTTAATGAATGTAACCGAAGAAGTTACAATTCATAGACCCAACGTTTCAACACTCCTCTCTAGTGCCTAGGGGTGATCTAAACGCTGCAACAAGAGGTCCTTTCATATGATCACTAATTAGCTGCCTTTTTTTTCTGATGAGGTGTAAATAGGCGTCAGCAAGTAAGCCACCATCATCACGATTTAAAGGAGCGCGGGCGGAGTTGATATGCCAAGCTTCCAAACAAAGGCGCTAGTGGTAACGCCGATTAGTGGTGATAATTTTAGACTTATCCCACACAATTTTATGGTTAGTTAGGCATGTGTGCTCCGATAAAGCTGAATTTTCTTTTTTGCAAAAGAAAACCGCCTTTTGATGATCTTTCAAACGTGTACCAAACTGACTTTTTGTGCTGTCCGATGTATTCGTTGTCACAGTCATTGCAAGGAAAAGAATAAATGGCGTCGGTTCGTTGTTCTTTCGTAACAGGATCCTTAGATTTTGCGAAAATATGCCCCAAAGTCTGAAAAAGGTTTTTGAGCAACTTTAACGTTGTTACTTTTGAAAATTCTCTTGATGGGTTCCGTAACACCCTGAATGAAAGGAATAACAGCAAAACTAGTCGCTGGTTCCCTTTCATCAGGAGTGCTACTGGTTGTAACTGGATTTTTGGTAGTTACGGAAAAAGGTTTTTGTATAGCCACTTGCCTTCGAATCTAGTGAAGATGGCAGAGTAAAGTTTTGGCTACAGACTTTTTATGGCAAATAGGGTGGTGAGAATCGAAAGCGAGATATTTGTCGGTGTGGGTAGGTTTACGGTAGGTTTACTAAATTACCCTGAACCCCTCTGGACACATTAAAATCGAGAAAGGGCAAACGTTTATCCTTTTCACGCTCAAGGGTGAATTGGATAGACGGCTCTACTGAATTCAAATGCGATAGGAGGCGCTCCGCTTCATTTCCGGATACCGCAGAAATAACATCATCGACATATCGTTTCCAGAAAAAGGGTTTAACCGGTGAAATAGCTAAGGCCCTTTGTTCCACGTCTTCCATTACCATGTTGGCAATAACAGCAGAGACGGGTGGACCCATAGCTGTACCAAAAACTTGTTGATAGTTAATGCCGTTATATACAAATTGCATGGTTTTGAGGCAAAAAGACAGCAGATGAATAATATCCTCCACAGGCAAAGAAGTTCTTTGTCATAAGGAAGCATCTTCTCTGAGTCTCTCCTCCGCGACCTTAACGGCAACATCAACTGGGATTTTTTAGTGAAGAGCGAAACAACGTCGAAAGATACTAATTCTTCACAAGCGTTAAGATTCTTATCACTTATGAAATCCGCAAATTCGCAGGAATTTTTGACATTGTAATCTGTATTCCCAAAAACAGGCGACAAAATTCTCGCAAGATAACCAGAAATTGCATCAGTCGGAGAATTAACAAAAGAGACAATGGATCTAAAAGGAATTCCCGGTTTATGAATTTTAGGTACTGTATAACATTTTGTACGTAGAGTCACTAATCTTACCAGCTTTTTTTCAAATCAAGCAACATTTTGTTTAACTTTCTTTGAGTTTTACAGATAGGATCAGAGTTTAAAACTGCATACGTACTCTTGTCATTAAGTAGAGACAAAGCTTTGTTGTGATATTGCAGTTTGTCCCTTACCACAACACAATTACCCTTGTCAGCAGATAACACG